TAATCGAAGTTCTTCACCGGATCTGAGAGAACTTCATCCTTTATTGCCAGTCGCTTAGATGACCTTCGAGTTGCCTCTGCGCTCCCGTTATCCGCAAATCCCACCTTCTTCTTTCTCTTCCTGGGTCTATACTCTGCCTGGCTATCTTGGTTGGAGGGCTCGATCTCCTGGCCTGGCAGACTGATGGTCTTCGGAGTCGCTTTGCGCTTTCGAGGCCTCCTCGGACTGTCGTATGTTCCGTCCAGTTGTGGCACAATGTAATTGTCACGTTCCCATTTTGAATCATCTATCATAGTGTCATCAATGTCTTGATAGTCTCGAGGTGTCGAATCGAAGAAATCCATCTGCGTCAACGTTGAATCAGGCTTTTGTGCTCTCGGACGGGGCCGTTTTGGTGCCGGGGACGGCTTTTTCACGTCATCTAGATACTGCATGTCGCGGTCGTCGAAGCTCGGAGAGAAGGTGGAGATCCATTCGACTTGGGTCAGAGTCCGTTGGCTCTTCGAGGGTCGAGCGCTAGAGGTGATTTCCGTACCATTTGGTCGTTGTCGCTTCCTCGCCGCTGTAGGTGCAGGCGTGGTCTTTCGTTTGGTGCTTGTGATCGACCGAACAACTCCGGACATGACACATACATGCTATACTTTGACACAAGAGAGGGCGGCAGGAGCAAGGCTACGGTTATTGTGTGAAGAGTAGCCTGGCGTATATTCGTCTCGGCGGGGCACACTCCATTGCGAAAATATAGGCTACGTGACGCGAACGCGTCGCGTCACGTCACGGGTACACGTGATACGTATCATCAAAAGTCCTCGATATATTCAAGCAGTACAAGGCATGCATTCATGTTTGGACCAGAATCTGTCGGCTGGGGAAGTGGCAAGCAACCCAGTTGAGAACTGGTATGTGCCGTGGTACTGATTGCGTGCCATTTATGGTGCGGTGTTCACGAAGGACACCTCGATAAAGCAGTAGATGTGTGGGAAACCGATCGCTGTCTGGGGTCTGACTAGTTCCAGAAGCGCCATCACCATCATGAGTCGTGAGCCAGCCGTTCTGCTTCACAAACTTCACGGGGTAGCAGCAATCTATCTCGACTGTTCAAGCAGAAAAGGTGACGAGTGACAAGATACCGAATATAGGAATCCAGACCCTGCCAGACTTGGCGATAAGGTTAGTACTAATACAGACTAAAAATACGCTATTGCCCCATCCGGAAAGCCACACAAGCTATTAGCGTCCTCGTAGGTTCCTTGAACGCTTCCCGAGGTCCTGTTCTCTTTGGACCACTAAGCCGTGAGTGATACTCGTACAAGGCGCAACCCAATGCTCATCTAGACTTGAGCAACTCAACCAGACTACATACAACTCTTCCTCGCCCTGAGCTTTTAACTCAAATCAGCACACATCAAGCCAACATTTCAATATGTCGCGGTAGAAACCTTCAACCTGTCAGGCTCCCTGTCAGCCCCGCTACAGCTCCAGAAGTCAAATGGTCTCTCTTCTTACGGTCTTTGTGGAAGAACAATGAAGGACTTGAAGGCACGAGTGAAGCATTGTCCAAGACTTTATGCCACTAGAATGTCTCCTTGAACACTGCAGAGAAGACCAACAAAGGCTCATTGATGGATGACAGGATTTGGGTCTTTTTCCCATTGATATCGGCTTTGTATTCCTCAACCTCATGCTGCCTCAATGGGGCATTGTCTGAGGCTGCTCTCTCGAAAGGCATTGACCCATTGTGTACCACCCTGTCTCTCGCCGTGGGGACTCGATTCTGGGGCCCTTAAATATCTCGAAGTATTCCACGCTCCAGTGCTTCTCTCCATACCAAAAGCTCCGCAACAAAATCAACACCTTCATCTTCGAGGCAAGAAAAAAAAATTCTCAAAAGACTCCAGCTCTCTCAATCCCACCGCTCTTCTCAAATTCCAAAAGGCCAAGACCTATCAACACTCTCACCAACTACTCCGAAAACCCATCAAATTCCAATTACACCTTGACAATGCCTTCTGATTCGAAATCCTGCGGCGGGTCGTCTTCGGGCAAGAAGGATGGCTCTTCTTCAGGGTCTGGCTCTGGCTCCGGCTCTGGCTCTTCCAACACCTGCTCTGCTCGGACCTGGTCCTCCGAAGACTATGACCGCTTGGCCACCGCTGTGACTGCAGCGGTCAAAGCAGAGTACGGGACCTATGGTGGCACGACTCGTGACGCCAGCGGAAAGTATGGAAGACGCGGCGCAATTTCCGAGGCGGACAGCCCCTACCACTATTCCAGCAAATAAGTTCCCCTGAGTTCACTTTCCCCAATTGAGGAGATACACTATTTTATCTCAAGTGAATCTTCCAAAACAGGTAAGCAATGAAACGGTCCGGCTAGAAATCTGACCAAACAGACGTGAGGTGGCAGTGGCAGGCTACTACTGACCTCGACGACAATAAAGACGTCTGGCGAAAAGCAGCCAAGTCGACAAGGTAAGTGAAAACACAAGTCATGGTAAGTGAGGCTCCGGGGTGGGGGTTTTTTTTTAAAGAGGTTTTTCCTCGATGATTGTTTCACAAAGGTCTGACATTATGATGGCTTTTTGTCGCATTGGTAGAGCAATATACAATTGATCGTTTTCCTCTAGAATATTTTTTTTTCTTTTCTTTTTCTCCTGATTCCGTAATTTTATTCGAAAAGAATCACCTCACATGAAAGTCTTGTGTGTCTCTGAGGGTTGATAAAGTATATGATATTAAGTACTATCCAGCACCTGACAATATCAGAACAGATGAGAAATCATTTAGATAGCAAGCACCGACCAATTACCCCGTGCAATGCAGACGACAAAAAGCAAAAAGACTAGACCAACAAAAAACTCCATGGCAATGCGAGAAAAAGAGATGGGCGAATCCCGAGCACTTAGTTGCACACACGCCTTAGCAGCCAGCAACCATGTTGGCGTCAATGGGTCCCTTGCAGTCGATGCCGAGAGGGAACTCGCCGGCACCGTTCCACCAGATCTGGTAGGTGTTGAGGGCCTGGAGCTCCGGGTTCTGGCAGGCCCAGAACTTGTTCTCGCCGTTCCACACCAGCGAACCCGCTTGGTTGAAGGAGAAGCCCGTGGAGGCGGCGTCGGCGGGGACACTGCCGCCCGCGTGAGGGACGGTGAACTGCAACGGCGCCGTCTTGTCCGGCTGGATGTAGCCGTTCTGCCAGCCTGTGGGGCTCGAGTGGATCGAATCGAAGACCAAGGTGCCCTGCGTGTCGCCGCCGACGTGAGCCCCGGCCATGACCAGCGGCTCCGAGTACGTCTGGTACCTGATCTGGCCAAAGTACGCCGAGTTGTTGGCGTAGGAGAAACCAAAGTACTGGACCTCGTTGCTGTCGAAGAGGTCTACGTTGCCGACGACCAGGCCAAACGTGACGTCGACGGCGTCTTGCCGCTTTTCGGCCTTGAGGGGGACGGCACTGGCGGTGGAGAGGAGGGCCAATGAGGCCGCGGCCGTGGACAGGAAGAGCATGGTTAAAAGAAGTGGATGGGGTGAGTGACACAGGCGGTAAGTTGAAGGTGTTTTGACGTGCGCTGATTGAGGACTTGTCGGTATTGCGACGTGGTATGTTTTATGATCAATCTCTGCTCTTGACAACTGTGATGGTGCTGGTAGTGACGGATTGCTTTGAGCCAGACGGATGCGACCCTTTATATGTTTGGGGGAAAGATTGATCGACTGACCTCACTCAGTATAGGCGAACTGAAACAAGAGGCTGGGACTGCCCTATGCTTAGGTAGGTGGTCACATGTTTTCATGTTGTGAGGGCTCAGTCCACAGACTTGCAGTCACATTTTTCCAAACTTTCCGTGTGTTCCTTGTGGTATACTTAGAAACAGCCCACACCTATGACGATGGTGGTGGTGGTGATGGTGACAACGAGCCATTTTTCCCCAGATGTAACCCCCTGCAAGAAGAGGTGAAGAGGGTCATGCGAGCTGCAAGGCTGTGCAAGTTCTCCACAAATACAGCAAAAATTCTTTCGCTTGGCTTGTCTCAGATCCTTGCTCGCATGGGAACTCCCGTTGAACTCTCTGTGGGGACCAGGCTCGAGATTCCGGATTGGGCTTAGTGCATCATCCGCTTCTCCCCAACTAGACAAAAGCTTAACCTCAAGTCCAAAGATCTAGATGGTAGGCCATATTACCAGCACCCAGATATTACATGGACGCATCGATCAGAAATAATACGGCGGTGATCTCGATATTTGCCGATTGGCTGCATATCACCCTTTTCCTCCAAGGGTTTCGATCCTTCGAGGCTTCACCCTTGGTACGGTAGGAAACTGGACTTGCTATGGTAATTTGCTTACGCAATATTAACATGGACGATTATTCGGTTTTGAGCCTCTGTCGTAGGGGAAAACTATCCCGCCGGTATTGACCAGAAGTGCAGCAACATGGGGGATGTAGGCGCGTTTGCAAACTGTGATTTATTGTGGCGTGTGCCTTTTTTGGTCACTGCTATCTCTGACGCTATCACTGTCTCTGTCTTGAGTTGCTGTCTTGATTTAGGCAAGACATTTGAGATCTAGCATGAACAGAATTGAAAAGAAAAGAAAATACAATAGACGCCGATCCTTTATTCAGGTCCACCGAATGGCATGTCTGCATCACAAGCTGAACTCAAGGGTTGCTTGGTTTTTTTGGGGAGGGGTCTGGTGTTTGTGCTGGTATTATTATTATTATCATTGGTCGTAATCACTGTCGCTTGTATTATTGGTTCGGTTTGGTGCCTCCAAGCCTGGCTGTCGGGTATCTGATGCGGGTTTCGCGTGATTTGTCCTCGCCGAAGGCGCCCAAGACAGGCAGGAAAGAAAAAAGTTTCTCAAGATATGTCGTACAATTGGGAGGAGCAGGCCGGCCTGGGAGAGTTCGGCTTCGGATTTGAATTGGGGATCGATCGCGTTGCGGCATACGGCAAGGGGGGCGCACAGCGAGCTGAAGGTGACACTCATTTCGTGCTGGCTCATTGATGTCCACCCTCGCCCTCGGCAGCTTTCACCAATGTCTTTTGGTCTTCTGCCGTCTCCAAAATCCCGCAAAGCTCGTCAACCGAGAAGTCAATGGTCGCATTGTGCAGTGAGAGCGGGACATGCTCCCGAGGGACTATGTCGGACACTGATATTCTCAAGGGAGGCCCCGAGACACGCACACTATTCTCCGATCGAAGTTCCTGTGGAGGTCGTCGGAGTAAGCAATCATCCGAGATGGGGTTGGATGTACTAACCTGAGAGTATTCAATGAGACCGCTGTTAGTATCACTATGATCTTCACTGCCGCGTCTCCAAGTGTGGAGAGTCACTTTCTTTGTTCGAAGGGAGTCACAATCGATGTCAATCACCATCTGAGTCAATCGCTTAGCTTCCAATAGATAGAACTCGGCCAGTTCCGGTAGCCTATTGCGATGTTGTGAGCAGGCGAACTCCAGAAAGAGACCACAGGTTGGTGCAGCCCGGTGAGTGATGTAGTTATCAGGTTGATGTTTGTCGAAGGTCGTCCTCCCAACCACATCGGCACTCCCATGGGCTATGATCTGCGCCCCAAACTGTTCGCGCTCCTGGTCACCCGCGCAAAGGCGGTTCAGCTTGGACCGAAGCTGGAAGTAGAACTCATAGAGGAAGGCTGCGTGGGCGGAAGAAGGCACACGGTGGACAAAGATTGCAATTCGGGAAAAATAGTCAAACCTGTAGACGCCGGAGCCTGTGGATTGGCTTGAGCCAAGATGGAGGAACCGAAAAATGTCCTTTCAAAACATACCGCACTTTCCAACCACTGTTGTCAAGGAAACTATGCAGGATCTTCCAGTCGTCGCGTCCAAGTGGGTATTCTTTCCAGTGCTCATCTGCACAGCCACCAGATAAACGAGCTTTGATGTCATGGATGATGAAGGACACGGTACGAGGGCAATTGATGGAAGTGATAAATGCGTGGCCGTGGGAGAAATCAGTGAAGGATCCGAAGAGTGACTCGTGCTGGCGCCATCGTCCGGGCGATGAAGTGTCATTTTCTCTTTCTGTCGTGGGGAGCTCACAGGGCGAGACGAGACTTGTTTTGTGATGAGACAACACTGTAAATAGACAAGGAAGTGAACCAAAGGTGCTAGCTGACATGTTTGATATTTGGTTTCTTTTGTACACAGACCCTTCGGCTGAGTTGCAGTAACTTGGTGTTACTGTCACACTTCGTGTCGTGCCTAACATGTCACCATGTCTAGTGGACTCAGTGCCTAGGCAGATCCCCTAGGCAGGTCACGAATGTGAATCAAAGCCGTGCAGTAGACATCCCTCCTCAACGATCGCCGCATGCCTTCTGCACCAAGGCTGAAGCCTCGAAGCCTCCCACCTCCTCAAGGACAAACGCGCCACGAATGACATCAGGCACGGGATGGTTGATCATCCGCAGTCACTGCGGCAATGCGGAATGAAGATGCTGTTGGCGCAGCGAGGGCACTTGGGTACGTGAGACAATAGCCACCACCACTGCTCTTTTCATGCTGATCACAGGTTTAGAGTCTGCTCTCTCGTCCCTTTGCTTGGTCATTCTCTTCGCCCTGGAGCTCAAAGTACCATTTGACGCCCAGCATATTCGTCCATCCGTTTCCGCAAAGACCCTCGTCGCTCACCACTCTCAACATCTTGTCGAGCCTCTCCTTGCCCTGGACTGCAATAGTGATGCTCTCCAGCCCCTCGGGCGACCCCTCCACTCCTGGCACGAAACTTAGGCGGGCGTTTGTGAAGACCAGCTCACTCCCTCGTCTCTCCACCCCAAAATAGTCCTGCCATTGCTGAGCGGCGGCGTGGACGTCGGTTTGGCCGGGCGCCAAGCGGAGAACTGCCCTGACCAGCTTCAGGTGTGCGCGACGCCTCATCCCGGCCGAGTACCTTGGGTAATCCGATCCGCAGGCGTGCCATGGACTAAAGGGGCTCTCCAGTGGGGTTGAGTTCGTGGCCGACGGGGTATGGGAATCCAATTCCGGCATCATTCCCCCTTTTTGCCGTGTTCAGTCTGATCAGCGTCTCATCGCACGTCTCGAACAGCGGAAACCCCCACGAAGCACACTTACCGGCAATCCCCTTTGGATGATACTGGATACACTCGACATCTCCGTGCGAGTGGTGGAAGATGACCCTGGCCAGGTTCCTCGACTCGATGTATTTCCGCCTCGACGCGGCGTCCAATGTCTGCATGATGATCATGTACCCACCGTCGCCGCGTTTCTCGAGCAGTTTCCCCACCGTCGTATTGGGTTTGAACGGAGAGCACACTTCAATCAGGTCACCTCCAATGGCCACTGAGAGTTTACGAGAGTAAGATCAGCCAGAATCGAAGCATTTGAGAAGAGGCCCGCACAACGGGAAACCATCCCCTACCCCAAAGAACTGGAGCATTTTTGTACCTAGAAAGTTCTTCAGACCCCATTGAGCCACCTGCGGATCCACGAATACGACTTCCGTGTCGAGAACCCTGGTCTTTTGGTTGTCGTACAAGGTGTGTGAGTGAGCTGGCATTGACATTGACATCGAGAGGAGCGGCCGGTTGGGGAGGGGGAGGGGGAAGGAGGAGTAGAGGAGGGGGAGGAGGGTGTTGTGTTTGGAGTGGGTGTGTTGTGGGTAAAGA